GGGTTAGAAAAGTATCAAAGTTCTTTATAGGCTGAAGAATAAACACCTTGCGCTGTGGTGCGGGGAGGAACTGCGCCCTGACGTCACACTCTGCTCTCCGATGATCAGTTCGGTCCAGCCTCACGCGCATATATACGGATTCATATTCATGGTGCATTCAGCTGCGCCTCGGACATCAAAAGACTTGCTCAAGACTTATTGAAGAATCTTATTTATAATTGCTGATAGGCAGGGGCGGATTTAGGAAATTTGGGGCCCTAGGCAAAGACAGGCAGGGGGCCCCCTGAGAAGAAAACTCATAAAACAGACCCATTCTACAGATAGAGAAATGTTAATAGAATAGACATCCATTATTTGTTCTAGGTTTTGTCCCTCTCTTCTTGTCCTTTTTCCCTCTCTATTTATCAGCGTTCTGATGGCATTTTAGCCAAAGGATTTTTATCAAAAACATAATTAATGTGCACAAATAAGGAATAGTTGTATTAACAATACATGTAAATAGAGTTTTATGGGGCCCCCAGGAACTTGGGGCCCTAGGCACCTGCCTATTATTGCCTAATGGTAAATCCCCCCCTGCTGATAGGTTTTATTTCCTAAATTGATTCAGCTGAATGAACCATATGCAACACTTCAGACACTCTTGTTCTGTTTTTTTTTATTCTTTAATTTTTCAAGCTTATTAAGCACATATGGATCATTCATGAGGTTATTTTGTTGCAGTGTTTCTCCATTGATAATGACTTAAAGCTACAGTGTGTAATAATTACAGGGATATGCAGTCAGAAATGTAATATATATTATACATAACTATGTTATTTATCATCATCTACGAGCTAAGCCTCTTAACCTTAATATTTGCGTTGCCTTAGAATTCGTTATTTATAATTACATAGGAGCGGGTCTCGCAGCCATGGAGGCAGACATCTTTGCGCTACGGCAGCACAGAGTCAACAAACTAGCGATTGCAAGATCGCCCATTACGGGTATATTTATTATCTTAAGTCTACATGAAATCTATACCCTACACAGACTAATGAAATACTATCTGTAAAATTATCTATGTAAACAAACCTCATCACTTGCGAAGGTAGGTGATGTGGACGTCGTGGTATGAGGTGCCCCCAGGGACATAAATCAGAATTAACTTGCATATACACATATTAAATTACACTCTTGCATATAATATACTGAAAACCTCACACAAACACTAGTAAAAAGCTCTCACATAAACTAGTGAAAACATTGTCCTCTTATATAATCTACTCAAAAGCTCTCATACAAAGTAGTGAGAACTGTTCATATAAACTGGTGAAAAGCTTTACCTTTCATACACACTACTAGAAAGCTTTCATATACACTATTAAAAAGCTCTCATATACACTACTACAACGCTCTCATATACACTATTAGAAAGCTCTCATATACACTATTAGAACGCTCTCATATACACTATTAGAACGCTCTCATAAACACTATTAGAACGCTCTCATATACACTATTAGAACGCTCTCATTAACACTATTAGAACGCTCTCATATACACTATTAGAAAGCTCTCATATACACTATTAGAACACTCTCATAAACACTATTAGAACGCTCTCATATACACTATTAGAACGCTCTCATTAACACTATTAGAACGCTCTCATATACACTATTAGAACACTCTCATAAACACTATTAGAACGCTCTCATATACACTATTAGAAAGCTCTCATAAACACTATTAGAACGCTCTCATAAACACTATTAGAACGCTCTCATAAACACTATTAGAACGCTCTCATAAACACTATTAGAACGCTCTCATAAACACTATTAGAACGCTCTCATAAACACTATTAGAACGCTCTCATAAACACTATTAGAACGCTCTCATATACACTATTAGAACGCTCTCATACACGCTACTAGAAAGCTTTCATACACACTATTAGAAAGCTAAAATATATGGTCCCCCTCCTTTAATTTAGGCAAACATTGCTCAAATATCACCGAATCCAGATGGTTTGTTGTTGATGAAGAGAGGAATAAACACAGTTTAAGATTTGCAGCTAAATTAATTTGTTTCTATATTATGGAACTGCTATCAGGCACTTCCCATCATCTTATATCAGTAATAAAAAATTATAAATACAAATTTGGTATTTGGTGACTTGACTTTTATTTCTGTCAGGCTGAAGTGAAAAAACTTGGAAAGAGACTGATTCTCTTGGCGTTTAAAATAACAACACAAAACAGCATAAGAAAACCGCATTTATTTTTTTTTATTTTACAATTTTGTAAACAACAGCGGCTGATTAAACTAAATTTCTCACCTTGTATAATTTTACGACTTTTTATTTAACCAAGAAATGATCCGAAAGGCCTGGGAAATGATCAGATCCGCTTATGTGGCTTCAACGCGCGGCGCGCTCCCGACACAGGTGGAACAGATTTTCACATGGGAACAGAATTTCGCACAACACCGGAAAAGGATCTCTGTTGAAGCAAAAACATAAAAAATAAAGTCGAGTAATGCCCATGCTTCTGTGAGTTGTTTAGCGGATAGCTGAGCATGAATCAATAATTTTATTTGATACAATTTCGGCCGGAGATAGCACAAAATGTACGGAGCTAGCCAGAATGACATCCGTTTAAAACAACTTCCGGTGTAATGACGGTCCTTCCTGTTTCACTGAAACGCCTTCCGTTTCAACTGAAACACCTTCCGTTTCAACTGAAATCCGCTAATAGCTTTTCAGTAGTGTGTATGAGAGCTTTCTAGTAGCGTGTATGAGAGCGTTCTAATAGTGTATATGAGAGCGTTCTAATAGTGTATATGAGAGCGTTCTAATAGTGTTTATGAGAGCGTTCTAGTAGTGTATATGAGAGCTTTCTAATAGTGTATATGAGAGCGTTCTAATAGTGTATATGAGAGCGTTCTAATAGTGTTTATGAGAGCGTTCTAATAGTGTTTATGAGAGCGTTCTAGTAGTGTATATGAGAGCTTTCTAATAGTGTATATGAGAGCGTTCTAATAGTGTTTATGAGAGCGTTCTAATAGTGTATATGAGAGCGTTCTAATAGTGTATATGAGAGCTTTCTAATAGTGTATATGAGAGCGTTCTAGTAGTGTATATGAGAGCTTTTTAATAGTGTATATGAAAGCTTTCTAGTAGTGTGTATGAAAGGTAAAGCTTTTCACCAGTTTATATGAACAGTTCTCACTACTTTGTATGAGAGCTTTTGAGTAGATTATATAAGAGGTCAATGTTTTCACTAGTTTATGTGAGAGCTTTTTACTAGTGTTTGTGTGAGGTTTTCAGTATATTATATGGAAGAGTGTAATTTAATATGTGTATATGCAAGTTAATTCTGATTTATGTCCCTGGGGGCACCTCATATCGTGGAAGACATTTTGTCCCGTAACGCTCGCCGTACTGTTGGGGGGGAGAAGCGGTGGGGGGAGATGTTCATGTTAGTGCGGTCTGCAATCTGGACGTTAGATGTCGCTAAAATTACACACTGTAGCTTTAAATCTGATCTTCCAGCGCAATGCAAAGTAGCAGGTAAGGCCCACAAATAAGAAACTTTCTTTCAAATGCTCAATAAAATGTATCTAAAATAAGCTATATGTTAAATATACATTATAGAAATAAATGTATTTTTTTAAATATGTTTTTTGTAATAAATTAACTTATCATATCCATCCTTGTTTCATTTAGATTGTTAATAGTACTACACCCGGTACAGATCCCTAGGCCCTTGCTTATATAGACATTCAAAATTTCCCCACTTTCCTTGATGGACTCTAAAGAGAAGCACCATCTCCTGATCACGCCCTGTAATTCAGTGAAAGGGTGGAGTCAGAAAAGAAATATGAAAGAGGGGGTCACTCTAGTGGCTGGAAGTTGGAGGGGATTTTGCTGGGAGTTGCAGGGAAGTGGGCTGCTATTCAGCTGGTGTTTGACTGGGAAGGTTCATTTGAATGGCTGCTACTGTTTATATTTTTAGATAGTAGGAAGAAGCTTGAGTCCTTGGAGAAAACCCCAGAATCAATCCATCCAGGCATAGTGATAAATGAGCTGAAAAGCCAATCTAAAGATCTCAGAAAGTTGGACTACCAGCACCCATTGGCTATTAAAGCAGTTGGTTTCCATGGAAAATCTAGATATAAAGTGACAAGTGATTTCTCAAAAAAGTCACCCTAGGTGAACTTTTTCAACTGATCATCCTTACATTTTCTACAGCTTCAGTCAAGTCATTCCACTTGTGCTAAATTCAGTTGATTTCAGTTGGTTTAGCCTATTAGACTTGGATCCTATTTAAAAATGGCTGGTCAGATAACTTCTAACCAAGCTAATGGAGCTGAGATATACTGCAAAAGGAAATGGTCCGGAGTTGTGCAGAGCTATTTGGCATCAAATTGATTTATTAAGACCTGAGGCTAATATTGCTGCCAAAGGTGGATTGGCAAAGGCTGTGAATACTTATGTAAATGGGAATTCTTAGTTTATTTTTATTACATGTGTAACCTTAAAAGAACTTCTTCCATATTAAGATAATTCGGTGTTATATGTAGTTTGTAGGAAGGAAATTAATACAGTTAAACACAAGACTTTAACAAAAAACGTAGAACACGTGCAGCACTGTCAATAGTTTGTAGATGTATTGTATGAGATTTATTAATTAGATTTTCTTTTTTAGATTAATAATAGCATCTCTGAAGTGAATGACAGACAATTTTTCTGCACTCAGAATTTTTGTAAACATGATCTTTGACCAAGTAAGTCTTTGTCTGAATCAATTTACATGTTTATATGAAATGGTAGAAATCCATCTGATTCTGGTTCAGCAGGTGACTTGGCTCTGTGTCTCCAGTTTGTGTCTCCTGTGATACCAGGGGTGCTCTATTCTGACCCTGGGGGGCTGAGCTGACTTTCAAACGTCTCTATTGGTAGATCTGAGACGTTAGCAGTTCCTCTGCTGCCAACAAAGACCATCATAACACCAGAGTCCCAGAACAAACAAGTTTATTTATGTTTGCCAGAAATTCTCATTAATAATCATCTTTAGAAATTATACCTTTGTGATTTTCTTCCCGCACAACAAAAAATAAAGAAACAAAAAAATAATCTGCAATTGCTTCATACAAGGCACGCAACATTTCAAGTACTTAAGTCCTACACCATCACATAATAAATAAAAATGTGGTCTCCTTCTAAAAATGAAAAATATTTTCCAGGTGTTCAATAAATTAACATAAATGAACATAAATAATTAACTGATAAAATCAAAAATACCAAAAGATCTTTTCAGATTCAGAAATATTTAAGGAAAGGACTGATCATTTAAAAAAAATAACAATTAGAAAAAAAGGGAAAGTTGCAATTTAATTACAACGTGCATGTTGTTTAAAAAAAAAAAAAAAAAAAAAAAAAAAAAAAAGAACCTTACAGAAAAGCACAAGTAAATTAACCCATGAAGTTGGTAAAGCCAACCTTCTGATCCGGCAGGTACATTCACAATATGTCAGCCGTCTCCCCCCCACCACAAGGACAAACCACGGTCTTTTTAGCAGCTTAGAAAAATAGAGCTTTGGTTCCCTCATTACAAGGATAATAATAATCAGAAATAAACACAGATTAAGATCCATTCCAATCAGCCATTAAATGGATCCCATAAGCTCTTTGGTGTAGTAAGGCAAAGATGACTTCAAACCAGCAGCTTTATTTCATCCATCAGCTGCTGGAACATGCTAAACACGCTTTGCATGAAACAGGCACATCATGTAGAAACCAGCGAGGAGGAGCTTCTCCCAGGCATGCCGACATCAGACTTCTAGAGCTACAGGCTCACTTTACCAAATAGAAAACGTCAAGGCAGGTTGGCCCTTACTGACCAATTGGTGAATGTGTATACAGAGATGTCTGTGCTGCATCAAAATAGAATGACACAAAATAAAAAAAAAAGCATAAAATAAATGCCAGTGAGAGGGATGGAGCACTCAGTGGTCCGACTGGCAGGACATTACTTAAATATAAGGGCCCAAGTAGATTCAGACACAACTGAGATATACACCATAACCCCCTACCCCCCCCCAAAAAAAAAAAAACAGGACTGATTTACTGATTTTCTGCCTGAGCATCGGAAGGATTCACCTCCCCCTCACAGTTCTTATTGTGCTGCCATCAACTTTCAGAAGGGATTAGTAGTGGTGTAGCCAGTGTTCAGTGCTCCTTTAACCTGTGAAGAGGAGAAATATCCTTTAAATACATTTAAATTCACAAAAAATATGGTGATCTTTTTTTGAACTGACTGGAAGTCATGAAGGACAATCGTTTAGTGTTTAAAAAGGTTTGATACTTTGTTTTTTACATTCTGTTTTCTGTACTCACAGACTGCAATTAGATTCATGCTGTAAGCCTAAACGACAGTACTGAGACCCTTCCCTTCATAAGTGCTTTAATAGAGCTTTTAATTAAGATGAAAACTAAATATTCAGTTGTCTGCCTTTACACATATTTAGTAAGACCCTATTATTTAACAGGTTTAACATGTTTTCTTATCACTTCAAAGCTGTAAGGAAAGGCTTTCCACCTGGTTTGGGGCATTTATGGCAACCTAGGATCGAAGCACATTTGTAATGGAGAACAAAGTCTTTCTATATCTCTGCCCTAACTAAGCCAAACATGCATTCTGGCAGGTTAAGGTTAGAACTCAAAGCTCAAGTTCTGCCACATCAAACGTGCTGATCAATCTCTTGAAATGATATGAAATCTCTGCGTTTGCAGTGTGGCCTAATATTTGACTCTGAGGAAAGCGCCTGACCTCCGTGCTTGGATATCACATGACCTCCATGTTCTAACTGATTTGCTTTTTATTTTAGGCTGCTGGTGAAGATTCTCAGTCATCCAGGTCATAAAAAACAATCCACAGGACTTTGTTTTAAGTTTGAATGCGTTTCGCTTCCTTTTTTAATTCAAAATATCAGAATTAGCTTTGAGTTTGAAGCTTTATATAGTAGCCAAAAAATTTGTTTTGGCTTAGAAAACATGCAAATTGAACCAGAAGAATGCGTCGTCCTTTAAGAACGGGGAGTCGTTTTGGGTTATTTGGTAGCCTGCAACACCTGGTACTGGTATAAGCCTCTGAAAGGGGGCATTAGGGCAATTGTTGGCCTGGCTGCCCAGGCCCCTGATGGGGGTGGGGGGTTGAAGTAATAGCAGGAAAGAACCAACTCTATCACTGCATTGTATGTTTTTGAGAGCTGAAAAGCTTTTCTTCCAGGCTGTTTTCATAGTTCATAAAAAGGCTCATTCTTGACTATGGAATATTTAATAGAGAGAAAATTTCCCAGTTGGACTTCTGGCACAGGTGGCATTCAAGCCTACGACCATGCTGGAATTTCCTGCGCTCCTGAGAGTGAAGTATTCTTTCATAAATATTGCAAAGCTGTTGCTAAGGGGCTGAATGGACTGATATGATGAGGACATAAGGAAATAGACAGCATTAATAGACACATTTAAAGGATAGATTTCAGTCTATAGATTTGTCTTTCATCAAATCAAACCAACTCATAAGGGCTTCAGTTAGTATGTGTTATTATTTTGGAGTGAGAACCATTGAACTGAGGAATGTTTGTACTAAAATCGGGTTATTTGCCTGTCCTCACTTCCTATTTTCTAAACAGTTTAGGTTTATGATTAAGGTGTGAACTGAATTTAGGGTATGGTTAGGTATGCAATGGTTATGGTTAGGTTTAGGGTTATTGTCAGGGTTGGGGCATAGAAAGGGCTTAAAATGATTGAAAGTAAACGCAAAACACTATTTATAGCAAGACAACAGTTTGTGTGTGTTGCTAAATAGTTGCTACCTTGTAGGCGCAATATAAAATCAATTTCCAAGGAATTTTCAAGATTTTGTGGGACTTATAGGTACTTGTGGGCACCAATGACGTTCTCCTTGAGAAAAGGTTCTCCTCTTGGGTTGGTGGGTAGGTTTAGGACTAAGGTGTGAATTGTGTTTAGGTAAGATATGCACTGGAAATGGTTAGAGTCTGGATTAGGCCATAGAAAGAAAATGGAAATGAATGGAAGTCAATGGAAAGTAGCCGTAAGGATATATAACTCGCTCTCTTGTGTGTGAAATTTCCATTTCACACACAAGAGAGCGAGTTATTTCTTGTTATCCTGAGGGGCCTGATGTTAAAAGAAAATTGACTCACTCCATAGCAGAGACTGGATGAGATTTAGATGAGGACAGCTCCTTCGTCACCAGCCGTAACAAAAGCTTTAAAACAAAGTAGATAAAACACATTTCACAAACACAGCAGAAAGTTATGCAGCAGAAGAAAATTAAAAGCACAAAAAATATCTCATTATCTGACATGAGAGAAATTTTCATTTCCTATTGAGCTTATTATTGGTAGCCTTGAATTATGTATTTCTAATTTTCCAACAAAGCATTAAGAAAAAAAAATACTTTATTTCCTGTAACTGTAATTTCCTACAACTACATACAATACCAATTAATGATGCTGCCTAAAATGAAAATCTCAAGACCATTTTTTTTTCTTTTTTTTCCCCCCCAGATTGTTGTAAACAAATTAGAATTGACAGAAATTATTTTTTTTTATTTGCTTTAATTTTAACTGTCTCTTCTAGAAGACAATTTGAATTCAATAAGAGAAAGAAAATCCAAGCTGTAGAACATGCAGCAGGTCCTGTCACATTATGCAATGACCACAGAACACATAATGGTTTATAGCCAGTAGCATTACGCAATCAGCTAGTTAATCAGTTATATGCACACATAAAAGTAACCTCACTCTTTAAGATCATTTTCTGCAAGTCAAAAAATTAGACACACAAACCTGGCAACAAACCTGATCAGTTAAAAGATCAGTTAATAAACAACCTGTAGTTGATCACATTATAATAAACAACTAAAGACCAAAACAAGTATTCATTGGTTGTTCCACAGCCTGTTTCTTTCATACAGGAATTATGAAAGGTGTATAACAACAATCACTCAAAACTAGAAACAAAATATGACCTCACCAACAAGGCCAGGAAGTCCGCTGTCATCAGCATGTAGAAGACCTGATCCCAGCCGCCTGCAGATAACAGGCCAGCCAGCAGGGGGCCCAGAGCTGCACCTATCATCACAAATACAGAAAAGATCATTCCTTTGGGTTTAACATTGATTAAAACATTTACTTTTAAGACATACGTAGAGCTTTCACTGAAGACCTAGCTGCCCTTCCTGTAAGGCAGTTGACATTTAGGTATATTGTTCTGCTTCATTCCTTCCCGGGTGACAGTGGTAGTCAAAATGCAGCAAAGCCTGTTTCTATTCTGTCTCTGTGGAGGTCGAGCTCTAACTGGGTGTCTCTGGTATAAATATAGCATACTAGGCAACACTGAGTTCTCATACTCTTCTTAGCATGTCTCTGCCCCACCTTGGGGCTTAATTTTTCTGTAAATACCTGTTTCAGCTCTTACAGTCTTTTCTGCAGGTCTAATGATTCTTTTTACTGATGGTCATACGGCCTTAAACTTCACTGGCAGGGTGCAGCCTTTTGTCTCTAAGGCTGCGGTTTAAAATGAACCTTAATGTTGAAGCAGATGTCCTTTTTTCCAGTAATTTTGCTTCAGTTAGTGAAACCTCAGGTGTTGTTGGTTCCTCCTTTTATTTCCTTGCAGGCATTTTATTTAGGGCCACTGTTCTATCATCTATTGTGCAATCTATGCATGCAACATATAAACATAGTTCAGTTGTTTGTCTCTCAGAATTGAGTCTAAGTTGTGTTGCTAATTAGTGGCTAATCTCTCTAACTCAGATTTGTTTTGTTTTCAATATCCAAGTGGAAAATAGGAAGACAGGCTGGTAAAAGTAGGACGGTTGCTGTGGTTACAGCTGTTACTATTGTTACCACAGTTCTCGTCTTGTTGAAGACGAGAACTGTGGGACACAGGGGAAGCAGGCCTTGGGCATGAATGCAGGGAGGATCCATTACACTCACCTTCCTGCGGATGAAGTCTAGAGGAACTGACTGTTTCTTCCTGTGAACCCCCTTTTATACAAAAATGCTGCCAATGCGCCATTAAAAGGTAGCTCTAAGTTAGAAACACGTTCAGCGGTCGTCTGGAACACGTCAAATACCTTTGATATGTGTTGGAGATAAGTTCTTGATAAGTTATGCACAAGTTACTCATAGGTTTTTGGATAAGCTAAAGGGCACGACTTCTGAGTAACTTACACTTAACATATGTCAACGATCAGATAACTTACCTGTAACGTATGGCATCATACGTTACAGGTAGGTCAAGATATTTTGAGCATGACGTACTTGCCGTATGTCGATGTGTGCCAGCGTGTTTCAGCGTGCTTATAACTTACACAAGACATTCCCATAACTTATCCAACATATGCCAGCGTTTTTGCCAGATTTTTTTGTACGTCAGGCATGAACTGGTCTAAACGGTCAAGGTTTGACAGAGGCTTGAACATTAAACATGTGCAGCTGCAGTCTCTAGCTCTCATACCGCTTCACGCTAAGATGGATGTACCAATGATATGCGCTATGGCTAAAGTGCTAAGTTTAAGCCAACTAGCATGTTGGCTTCTTCACTGTATTCGATCTAGATGCATGACTTTTACTTTTTAAATCAGTCTCAGATCAAATGAACCACTGATGTCTTGCTTGTCTAGGTGGGAAATAAACTTCATCAAAGAGAAACCAAGTGGCACTGACCTACGGATCCTGTCCCATCAATGATGGCGGTAACGGTGGACAGAGCTCTGGAGTTGCCTTTCAGGCTTTTATGGGTTCCCTGTTAGCAAAGATGCATAAAGACAGAATAATATAGGGTTGTTTATATATGACAGAAAACGGATTTAGAAAAAAAGGGTTTGGTTTTTAAATGTTTACCAGATCTGCTGACACTGCAGTTGTAATGAGGGCATATGGTCCATTTACCAGCGCCCCACTCACCAACAGCATTCCTGCGGAACACAGAACCAGTCAAACTTCTGTTCCTAAACTTTGCCTTTCTAACCACAGACAGCTTAACTATGGGTTTCCCATTAAACCTTTACTTCAACTGAGCTGCAAGCTGTATTAAGGACTCATTTAAGAACACAGATATTAAAATTGATTTTTTTTCCCCCTATCATTACAAACCGAGGATATCCAGTGGGAAAAGCAGTCTTAATGTTTTTCACAAACATTTATGACAAGAATGCTTAAGAAGTCTTTCCTGATTTTATCTATATTAATGCAGTTAAGTTAGCATTCACGTAGAAAAAGAAAAATAGTATCAAATTTTACGTTTCCGTAAAGCCAGTCTGGAATGCAACACTTAATTAAGCTCATAATTCAGTTTCATCTATGAAACTTATCTAGCTTCTCTTTTAACCAAATCTTTGTCAATGTTTGCCAGAGTTTTATAGCTTGGGTAGAACTGGTCAAACATGAGACAATTTGAAGGTTTTCATAACAAAATTTAATGAATTATTACCTCTGCCAAGGAGGTAATATGTTTTGTTACTGTCTATGGAGGGATTTCATGAAATTTTTATCAAAGTTGTTTTACATGCCAAGGACAAACCATTACATTTTGATCCAGATCATAAACTGGATACAGATATGTTTTAAAAGATTCTCTAAGATTATCAGATTTGGCAGAATAAGCAGTTCCCCACTAAGCCAGAGCAGCAGTGCCAATTAACAGCCTCAACATCGGACTCAAAAAGTCTAGAGGTATTTTAAGGAGAACAAAAACAGAAGAAAATGGAATGTTGTTGGTCTGTTAGAAATTATCAATTGAAAACTTATGAACAGGTTTTATGCACCCTTTTATCAGTTGCCAAGGAAAGACTAATTTAAATTTAGTAAGGATCTATATCATGCGCGAGTTTTAGCTATGGGGCAAAATGTGCAGCTTGGCGGAGGTTGCACTCTCCAAGTGCTTTCCTAGTTATTGTTGCAATGATGACGCTGGAGCAGACCTGATATTTTACCAATTGTCTCCCTGTTTTCTAAACCTATTTGACCTGCTCTGTTGCTGCATCTCAGGCGGTGTTTGATGCTTCTGTGATTCATGACCTAAAAAGCAACAAACCCATCGTCAAATTTTCCTTCCCATGGTGTTTTCTCTATTAGTTTCAAAGCATATAGAAAACAAAAGCCTCACACTAAGATATATGTAGAAAATCAAGGGTATGGCTTTCAAATAACTACCGGGAACAAAGAAATCTAATAAAAGCAGATGGCTGCTCCTTACCAACAGTTGGACCCAGACCAAACTGGCTGATCATTGAGAAGCCATAGAGCTGTGGACCAGAAAACCAACATTAGAGAGGAGGGCAGCATGATGTCTTTCACTGAGAATAAACAATCTAAAGCATGTTGCTTTGCACTGCTCGATGAAACAAAGTTTATTTTAAAAATTAACAGCTGAAGGAAAATACTGCAGCAAAATACAAAAAACCGCAAGACATGGCAGCTTACCGTAGGAGCAGCCAGCAGCAGCATGACAGCACATGTGGTGGCTCTCTTCCCCAGTTTATCAGAGATGAGTCCTGCCAAAATCCCTCCTATACGTAAATGTAGCACATAAACACAGCCGTCATTCCACTAGGAATACTTTCACCTATTTGTTTTAATGTTCATGCAGGAAAGAGAGAAACAACAGCAGGGAATATAAAAATAAAAAGTCACTGACCAACAATTCCTCCAACATCAAACAAGGTGGACAGATCTCCAGCTCTCTTTGCATCCAGGTGAGCTGAACAGGGAACACAGCAGAATAAACAGGTTCCAGTTTGGTTACTTCATAAATGCTTTATTTGTCTTTCTTCATAAATAAAAAGGACTAATAGAGATAGATTTGATCCATCAGGCTTATATTTCACAGAATGGGAATCCACGATGCTGGGCTATTTCCTCAACTTTAAGGTAGATCAGTTTTAATCTTTAGGTTATTAAATAAAAGAGTCTTTACAGCAAGTATAGAGTACGCCTGAGGAGGGAACCAGAACCACCGTCTATGCTCTGTAGCAGGAGAAGCGCCCTCCGTTAGTAGAGAAGCAAAAATTCAGAGCTTTAGTGGATTGAGCCACAGCAAAAGAAGGATGTAAGGAGACATCTGACTGCCTGCAATGAGCACACGCACCCTGACGGCTCACTCAGTATTTATATTGCAAACCATTTGGGAGAACAGTGTCTCCATTTAGGTGAGCTTGCAGACATGAAGCATTAGCGAAGAAAATTGAAACAGTTAATCATTTCCAGAGAAGCCTAGCAAACAAGGTTCCCAAGTCTGCTACTCACCTGCTTTCGTGATGTAGAGGGGCAGCCAGAAAAGAAAGGTATAACTGACCAGTTTGGCAAAGAGGAGGCACAGAGAAAACTCCACCACTCCCTGCAGGAGCAAACAAGTTAGATGATGACATGTTTTTAACCCTAGCACTCAGTAATGACTAATTTAGCCAATTATGTGTGACTGACAGGTATTCGCAGTGCTCCCATGAAGCTGATGGCAGACGGCTCCGACTCACTCTTCACTACCACAACAGGCTGCGCAGGGACACAGACGGAGTCCCGGGGTAGCAGCAGCTCCGTGTCATAGCTCTGCGTCAGGGTAGAGAGAGGACACATCAGGCACTGCAGGAGGAAATGAGCCGCTACTAAGCTACAGACGGGAAAAGATGATGATTAACGGCCAAAAATCCCCCAGAAGAACAACTAACAATATCTGGACCCAAAGTCATTGCAGGATTTTAAAATGTTGCAGGAACATGTACTGGTCGTGTTGGTAAAGTGATATTTACCTTAAATTTTATGGATAGCTGAGGATAATCAAGTCCAAATGAATGTCTACAATTGAACTGTGATTAAAGAATGATTAAAAGATTTTTAAAAATAGTCCCAGATTATGTTCGATCTCTTCATTCTAGAAGAATAAATTAAAGCAAATCTTAAGAAAATCATTAGAAATCAGCAGCAAAGCATAACCCTGGTCTCCACTGAGATTCACAGACAAAAGAAGAACCTACTGATTAGACTTCCTGTCTAAATGTGAGGTAAATCCTAGGGTCCCACCTCTGAAATATCTCAGAGGAAACTGAAGGAAGTGGTGGAACATACTGTACAGTACCAAGCAGCAAAGCTCCACCATGATGTGGGTGGTGGGCTTATCACCTCAGCCAGTTCTGCAGTGAACAGACTACAATACTTTGCTGCCAACAAGGGTTCCTCTGTTTATGAATGGAACAAAGCCGGCAGTTGGGACGCATTGGTCCGGTCCATTATGGCTCCACAAGGATCCCAAACATGGCGGTGAGTCTCAATCAACAGGTCTAATGGTTTAGTTTGCCCTCTGGTGGTGCCCTTAATTATCACAGAAGAAGTAAACTGGTCCCAAATACCTAAACTATCACAACTTACCTTTGTGATGTTTTTGGAAAAACAAATCACAAGTTACCAAAAAACTAAGCCCCCTAATAGAAAAAACAAATGGCTACTGAGATTAGAAAATGATGAAAAAAAGACAGAAGGCAAAAGAAAATCACAGTGGGTGAAAATCTAAGGGAGCTAACCCTGCCCAAGGATTTCCCAGAAACCTCGAGGCTGAATCCAAATGTTGCCTGGATCACATGAACCTTATTTATCACATCTGGACAGCTGAGTTATTCAGAGCCAAATTCCAGAATTTGTAAAATTGTGACCATAAAGACTCTCATTTAGACCCAGCCTAAGAGACTCTGAACACTGAAAGAACTGACCTTCCTATTCAGAAGACTTTCCTTCAGATAGCTGTAGGCCTACAACAGAACATGGAGGAAACAGTGTTTTTGCATCATTTAAAAAATTAAACAGCCTTTACTGTATGTTTTCACTTCATCACAGCATTGCATGTCTCCTCGCAATGTGGAACAGACTCATCAGCTCAGAACCTTTTAGTTGGGTTTATTTCACCTGTCCTGCAGTTTTTAAGAGGACATTCAGGAAGAAAAAATTAAAAAGTACTAATTACATCAATTAGCTGGACTTCTGTCAATCCTTGCAGGACCTTAGTGTATCATTTTTATTAGATGCTCTCTGCAAAATAAATGTTTAGTCGGACCTCACTTCTGTAGTAAAAAATTATACAGTAAATGTTGAATATATCATGACTTTGTCGATGTCAGGGTTTCACAAGGACATACCATACCGCCTCTGAAGTAATAACAGTGATGCACACCTGTGTTTTGTTGTCCTTGTACTGCAGGTAAACCTTTGAATGTCCATTTGCTCCATTCCAGCTTTTGGCTGAAACCTGAAAAAGTTATTTATTACTTAAAATGGATAAAAACACATAAGGAGACTGAAAGAAAAAAAATAATAATTCTTTACTTACACCATTTCCAGGACAAAGGTTCTGAGCATAAACACCTTTTAAGTCATTGGGATCTACAGAGGGAAAAACACTGAATGAGGAAGGTTGAAATGCTCAACACGTTAACATTGCATGTCCAACCTAAACTGGCAGAAGTTTAAAAACCAAAGGTAGACCACATTTCTAAAGAGCAACGCTACATGTATACAAACAAGTACTTACGTTCAATAAGAAAAAGGAAACAAATCACTCCCATGGCTGCAATGATGAGGCCAGGTATAATGAAGGAGAGGCCCCAGTTAGATGAGACCCAGTACCCAGCGATTAGAGAACCCAGGATGTTTCCCACTGAGGTGTGTGAGTTCCAAAGCCCCATGATGAGCCCACGCCTGCCAAAAACATCACAAAGGTCCAATATTAACCATTTAAGATGTAAACACATATGCCATCAGCCCATTTAGCTCCACCCATCTTTACTTCTATTTATTCCATCTTACCTTCCTTTTCCAAACCAGTTGCCAATACAGGTCACTACACTGGGCCAGCCAGTGGTTTGAACAAGCCCGTTGGCCACCTATAACAAAACAAAAAGGTTTTATGTTTATTTTAGCAAGTTGCTTTAGCGACCTTTATGTGCATCAGTCAAATCTGCGACATCAACATAAGGAAATGCAAAACCAATGTTTGTTTGGATTTGGTATCTAATAACAACCACCTCATTTTGGGAAATTCTATTTTGCATACGCTGACGGAACAGCAAATAACTTAGGAACTGTAAGCCAAAATCACGTGTGCAATACATTATTTGACAGCTAACACCCTCTAGTTTCTGAATATATAAATGAAAATTCAAATATGACTCAAAGTAGTTTTTTTATTCTCAAAAATGATAGGTCTTTTATGAATAGCAGTAATGAAGACATGCCTGCGAAAAAGCCAAGTCTTGTTGTATTTCATTTGTTATACGTCATGTCAACCGCAAATGCAGAAAATTTCAGATCTCTAGCTACAACAGTTCTAGAGCTGTGGGGCTCTGTTGGTGTCACCAGCGTCTCCAAAAATCTCTAAATGTGCCAAATGCTATTTGACCCATTGAATAACACTGAAGAATGTTGATGGCCATAAATATTTATGAAGCAAGTATTTCCCACTTTTTTTCAGAATCAGTGTATAAAACAATATATAGAATTGTACACTTATAATAACATAAAAATCTATAAAAGATAGTGAAACTGCTGCTTTTCAAGCTAAAACAAGCCCAGCTGCCTTTTCTAAGCTGTATTTTTTTCCAGCCTTAGGCATTGTAATAAAAAATAAAATTGTAATAAAAAAATCAGTGTCCAAACTTAAAAAAAATAGGGCCGCTGTCATCACTCAGCTTGGAGCTAAGCGTATTGATCCAGCAGCAGCTGTGTGTTCGACTGTTACGGCAAAACGGGGTCTGCCTTTTTCTAAAGTCGCCATGTGTAGGCTTGTTTGAAACCTGATTTCATTAGCTACAAAGCCCAACAGCCAACGTGTTCTTAGCCAATAATAGCAGGACTCTATGAGGTGCAATATGGCGTTATTCGGTGATTCACTGGCTGACAGGAAGTGACCGGAAGTGAGATTTCAGTGACTGTATCTGACTAAAATCACGTCATAAAAAGATGCGGACACCTTTGTCTTGTATTTAAGAGGAAAATGTAAATAACCATATCAAACATGGTTAACAACCGAGGAAATAAGTAGTAGGAAGTAAATATTAGCAAGATACAGAGCATTAGCTATGACCAGCTAACTTTTCTGAAGTCAACAACAGATGTTATGAGCGATTTTCTCATCATGGAATATTTTTATTACGAATATGCTGGATTACTTTTAATCTGTGGATCCTTACGGGTGAATGGAGTATAAAGAATTGAAGATTGGATTTATAAAACTCCTTCTGGATGCCTTCAAAAGTATGTAGTTGTGGCTGCTTTGTTTGTTTATATTTTGACATGCTGCAATATCTGTGTTAAATGTGCTTTGGTGCTTGTAGTGTCCATAAAATGAACTTGGGGATTGAATTGTGGAGAATCTAAACTTTCCAACGAACATGTTTATATTGGTAAAGATTTTACCAGTGGAATTTTCATACATTCTGAGTTATTCACAAACAAACATAAGCTAAGGTACTAGGGAGCAGCAGTGAAGCAGACTGTGGGCTGTTCCTCTGACTATAGACGCTTACTCTGTACTCAAACCATCTTAAGAACCTCTGACCACAGTGTCCAAGTAGCCACATAGATGACACGCTCCGCTCTGACACTGGTGAAGGAAGTCAAAGGGTCATTAAACATTAAAACATTTACACGGGTCTCACCTGAACAAATATGTAGAAACCCAGGCTGTGGATGTTGTAGATGTAGCCGAGGCCAAACAGGCAGGTGAAAAGCCCACTGGCCAGCATTCCCACTGTGAGATACAGCCGGATAGGTAGGCGCTCCCCAATGATGCCACTGCACGGGGGGGGTACAGCAAAGATATATTAGGGTCACATTCATTTATGTTCTGAAAGCTTGATTCACAGCTTTCATTGAGAAGATTTCTGCTGCTGCTGTTGGAACAGTTTTCTTTAGGAGTAAAACAGAACTAAGGATAACACCCACTCCTTTAGTCCTAGTTTGAAGCTGGTATGTGTTTGATGGAGGAGTCAGATGTTCTTCTAATGTTTCTTTATTGAAGTGAACTTAAAAAAAAACTGGGATATGAAGATTTTACAGATTTTCTTTGTTTTTTCTCAAACAAAAGTTTTATGTTTCTTTCATATGACATTAAAGTTCAAAATAGTTTTTTATATTAAAGTTTATCATTAACAGTTAACCCTGACCTGAAGCTGTTATCTTAATAAGGCAAATATGTCCAATCTCAAGGGCACAAGAGCTGTTAAAGGACATTTCTCAAGGTGCTGCATATTTTTTCACTTCTAGATTCCACTGTTTAATCCTGATTTTGTATCCACTGGACAGAGGTAATAATATACAGGCTTATGTTTAAGTAATGCATATCATTAAATCACAAAGAAAATGTAAAAATATCAGTTATAGGTTTATTAAAAAGAAATAATGATGAAATAAAATAATAATAGACCTGTTCTAGTTCAGGTCCAAAAATGAAAAAGAAAAACCAAAACTGTTCCAACTGGGAGCCTGTATGTTTATATTTCCAAAATATTATTTATCATATTTAGGAAAATTAACTTGGTAAACAATTAAGTTGTAACCATGCTTTCTCTTATCTCAAGAATCACGGATATAAAAGGTCATAGGATGGCGGTGTGCCGCTCCAGACCGTCAGAGAATCAGTAGAGACAACTGAAGCTTTCAGTTTACTAGCAGCAGCGAAGAAGAACCATAAAGCTTTTAGAGACTCTTTAAAGATGAGTGTGTAAAAAAACAAAAACCTCTGGAGATGTGTGAAAACCCGGTAACCAGTTGGAGAAAATGTCTCAGTGCATGTCACGATTTAATAAAGAATCAAAAACTAATTTCACTCCTTTACATGTAAACTAATTTGTTACTTTTATTTTTTACCCCTTTTCTGAAGTGTTTAAAAATCTACATCTCTGTATTCAGTAAAACTTCCATAAGAATAAATGTTTAGAGGAGGATGTTTATTTTTTGGGTGGATCACCAAAATGGACTGGCAACCTGTCCAGGGTGTAGCCAGCCTCACGCCTGTAGACAGCTGGAGATAGACCCCATCACCCCTCTTGACGCCAGGAGGGTTAAGCGTGACGAAACTTATTATTGATGGATCACCAAAATAAGTGGTCCTCCTAACTGTCAATCATTCTAGCGATATGTTTACTTAGTCTGACATAAAGGAAAATTTGCAAATCTTCTTTTGGAAAGTAAGCTTGTATGAGCGATGCAAACAGCCACTTTTAAAAAGAGCGTGCATGAGGACAAATAGGTTGGTGCATGCTTCCACACATGTTTAATGGTGGAGAGGGCGGGTCTTTTAAAAAATTAGCAAAAATCCTCCATTATACCTTTAAAAAAACAGTTCAGAAAAGGCTCCAATTCTATTTTCCCAACTCTAAAAATCTAACATTTAATTCAATTCAATTTAGTTTATTTATATAACGACATCATCTCAAGGCAATACTAGGAAAACCAGCTGATTGCATCGACTCATTGACTCTTCAGCAATCCATCAGAGCAAGCATGCTTGTAGTGACAGCGGAGACGAAAACTCTATTTTAACAAGAAGAAACCTCCAGCAGAACCAGGCTCTGTGTGAGCGGCCATCTGCTGAGGCCGACTGGGGTTCAAGGAGACATAAGCAGAGATGAACACTGCTGTTCTCTGTTCATAATCGACTGAATCAATGTAAATTTTTCTATTTGAAAACAAGTTTGGCTCACGCCGATGTCTCACCTGAGATACATCCCGATGGCATAGGCACAGAGGAAGGAGTAGTCCATGGCTCCTAACAGCTGTTTGTAGTTGCTTTTATCTGCAATTCAAACAATCATTGTTAAACCAGAATCAGGAAGCAATCAGTTACTGAATTCAGAAACACTCTTTCCAACAGGGCTGCACACTAGGGTTGTCAAAAGTATCGAAACTCAAAAAAGTATCGATACTGAAATGTTGTATCCGGATACAATACTCGTTTTTAAAAGTATCGATACAGTGCCGTCACCAGTGGCACCTAAGCAGTCATTCATCTAAAGTGCAGAATAGAGGACAATGCACTTTCTGAACACTGTGTGATTGAATAATTCTGTCTCTTTTCAGTTTCAGACTTTGTTTTTGTAACAGGTGCAGCTGCTGAAAATTATTTTTGTTTCTTAACTGGTTTGGCTAGTGTCATTGTTATGTGTGCAAAGCATAGCCAAGGAAGGTACACTTAATTTGAATTTTCTAAGTTTTTTATCAAGCTTGCTTAATATTATGCACAGCATACAACCTTTATTGTGTTTATTTATTGTATTTTATTTATTGATGAAAATATTTCAGTAGACTTTTGGAGTCTTTGTTTTTATCCTTGTGGTATCGAAAATGGTATCGAGTATCGAATATTTTCCTTAGTATCGGTATCGAGTTGAAAAGTTTAGTATCGTGACAACCCTACTGCACACATGTGTCTGCTGACACATTTAAGGGAAGAATACACCGAATCCGATTATGCGCCCGATCCGACAGAAAATCGTGTCGTGGCGTTTAGCGCTCATTAAAAATCAATAGGGACACCTGACACGATTTTCAGCAAGAGGGCCTGCGCAGCTCCGACAGACATAGACTCCAGGTCTACTTTATGCAGCAATCCAGCAGCAATTTCATGGGTCTAACAGAAATAGAGATACGGTTACAAAGTAAAATGCATCCGCTTTGGGGGACAATCCAAAATAAAATCAGTCAAGCATACAGTCATTGGAACAGTCCGGTTCGGAGTCGCACATCGCGTATATAGCAACCGGGACAAACTAGTACAAAAACAATCAATGAAATATATTAAAAAAAAAAAAGAAAACTTAACCCATGAAAGCAGTTCAGGAGGATAGAAAACAGATATATCCTCACAAAAAAAAAATTCTTAATTACCAGGTGCAGACAGCGCAGGTAAGGGAAGTGCATCACTTTCCCCTCAGAACTTCCATAAACTTCACAGATCTCACTTTGAAAAATCCCCTTTCTGCCTCAGTCAGCATATAAACTGTCCTACAGTGTTTATTGCTGTGGTTTGTTTTTTTTTTAGACGTAAATCTCGTGTTTTTAATATAGGCATATAAACATTCTTTATCTGTTCTGGTTTGAGATGCTGCACAGACTTTTTACTGTACAATTGGGGCTTTCTTTTTATAGCTGCACCAGTGGCTCTTTATCTTTTTTTATGTATTTTGCATAACTTTACATAATCTGTCCAAGTCAAATGTGTGAAACTGTTGTAATTTGTGTGAAACAGAGACAAAAGTGAAAACATAGATCTGCTCACCCTCCCTCTCTATGCGAAGTCAGTGTGACATGGACAGAAATCGGTTCAGACTAAAAAGTCATACGCAACCGGTGTGTTTAAGCCTTTAGTGTCAATAACCTTCAGAACAAAAGCACAACTGTTCTACACAAACTGCTGGAGAGCTTCCAAATATTGACTGCTCTTTATTGCTGTAGCAACAGGTTAAACAACAGGTTTTATGGATTCAACAAGTTCAAGTACAGCGATCTACCTTTTTCCCAGTGTGCTTTCAGTAAGACATTCTAGTAGCAGGATGCTTCTAAAGCAGAACACCTGGATCTCTTCTGATTTCAAAACTGTCTAAACAGGTTTACTGGACATCAGAATAATGAGACAGAAGATATAAAGTGTTTACATTAATAAATGTCCTGGGTCTCTTAAGTGTCGTCTCAGTTTACGGACAGCCTTTGTAACCACAATGGGAAAGAGTGCTTCGGCTCAAAGCCAAGTGAAACATATCACAGAAGCTTTAAAGCTGAAACACCTCATAAAATTTGACAGATTGAAGTGTCTTTTTTCTAAGATAAGACAAATAAAATAAACAACATTGCCTCTGATAAAAGGAGCTTAATCTGACCAGACCAGAGGGTGGAAAACATCCATCACATATAGAAATAAAAGTAAAGAAAATCAGCCTTTACTCAGACACATGCATTTCTCAATATAAATCCCTAAATAAAGCCTTTTCATAGAATTGAGCAGATAAATACCAAAAGGTTTCCAGCCGCACTCATTATCTGTGTGGAGTGAAGGGAGAGGGGCTTCCCGGCCCCCACTTCTGCCCAAAGCGACAGAGGCCAGTTCACTGGCAGATGAGCAGTTCCTATGAAGCTCGCTCTGTTAGGGGGAGAAAAACAACACAAATTAAAAAACTGTAAATACCATGAACACCTGTGTAAAGCCCAGCTCCACACCAATGCCATTTATCTTTATAGGTTTTCCATTGGATAAAGAGCTGCTGTAGCTGCATGGTCATGATGTCAGTCTTCTCATGTTATCAGGCAAAAATGTTAAATGACAGCCTTCAAAACAATAAACAGATTTGATATGTTTCAAATTGTTCAAAGAGAATTAAAACTGACTCTACATAAAACCCTCTACTTGTCTAAAAAGAAATATGAGCTAGACCAGAACCAGAACAGACGCCTGTTCATCAAGTAATCAAAGGTTATGACTATGAGCATTGAACGGTCCAAATCTTTGCACGAATCACATTTACATCATTTTATTCAGGCATTCACATGAACAAGCCCACCTGATGGCAAAGACAGAAGAGCTGCTCTGAGGCCAGGATGGGTGGGCTGAACAGCGGGCCCTCTCAGGAGGATCCTGCTTCAAGCGGTTACTTCAGCTTTTTAAAAGACCAGTCCAAAATTTAATATGATCCAGTAAAATGATAGGACTGGCATAAAATCAAATGCAAACAGCGTAAAAATAATACAACAAGCCGGTCCCATCTAGGCGTAATCCGAGACAATGACACATGAAGTGTGCTCCTGATGTCCAGTCTGCTCCGTAGCTTTGTTTTGGTCGCTGTAACCGCAAAAGATGCCGCTTCACAAAGATAGGATGTTATAGATAGAATGAGTCTTGAACTGAATTAACCTGTGTCAAGAGGCACAGATGCACCGACTGATGTAATTTGGAGAGAATACCGTAATTTTTTTTATATTTTTCAAAATAAAACATCAGTCAGACTCTGATCGTCGATAAATTATATATATACATTTAAATATACTTTTTTCTGTGCGGCTCGATACCAGATGACCGACGGACCGGCCCGGTGGTTGGGGACCGCTGCTCTAATGAGACCTGAACTCTAATCTGGAAAGTTCAGATTGCTTACAGCTTTACTTGAATGACAAGAAGATCCTGGAAATGTTCCCTGAGCAACAAAATGAAGGAGGTCTGAAGCGATGCTCTAAAAAATGTCAGACAAAGGACTCACTCCAGGAGAATAATGTCCCTCTTTTAAATGATCCTGAAAGTCCTCTTGATCTAAATCCCCCTGAAAGAGTTCAGTGTTCATTGAAAATTCATAGAAACTTATCGGAATGTAAGTTACAGAGGTAAGTTGAGCTAAAACATCATTGGTAAAAAATAAAGAGATAAAGCATGATTGTTCACAATGAAAAATAAAACTGCGATTCAATGATCTTTCCACTCAGGAACCTGTATTAAAAATGACTGTTTATGCTCTTCATTTGGATACACAGATTAAACGGCAAAATATATTTGCAGTTAAACCTAATCATGCCTCCATGTGGGCATGGCCTCACTTTTCTTCTGGCTTTGGATGATGAGTTTACATGAGGAGCATGTCTGAGGACAGCAGCTCAGGGGCAGTGAGGTGTGGCTGTCTTCAGTCAGGAAGGAGATTAAAACAACATCTACAGTATGTATAAATTCACAAATATCACCTTTACTATGCTGATGGGTTTCCTGGAGAGGTGGAAGCTAGTGTAGAGGAGGAAGGTGAGGATGAAGGTAAGAGCCCGATACCTGCAGGGAAAACACAACATAAAGGAGAGAGATGCTGTTAGCAGATCCAAATCCTCTTTTCTGATTGGTTCACATCACCAAAGCTAGAAGTGGTCATTTCTCAATATGTGTACTTGTGGGTTCTCATGTGCTTGTGAAATATCATCAGCCCCAGCACTGTTCCAATTTACAAGAACACAAGACCAAGAAATGACAGGGTCCCGGGATGTTGTTCTTAGCCCTTCCTCTTTACCAGGCATGCATCAGAGCAGACTTGTCCGTTCTAAATTGTCAGCTGACCCAGCATGCACTGCAGCGGCAGCAGCTTGCAGGGGAGCGCTCACCGAGCTCAGAGTATTGACTTAAAACTTCACTTTTCTGTTGCTTTTGTTCTATAAAAGTACATTTTAAGATAATTTTAGGCGAGAAAATTATACTTTTAGCTTCACTATATGGCACATTTTCTAAATTAAAAAAAAGTTCTGATGTTAAGAGGACCGTGGCAACCAGCGGAGCTCTGAGGCTAAATGCAGTCAGGGGTAACGGTAGCCCGTTCGCAGCAGCCCTCTCTCAGCATAGCCGTGTGTGAAGTACCGCTGGCTCAATGGTGTTTTTTTTTTTCCCAGCAAAGCTTTCATTTGATTCATGTTTATCTGACTGTGTTAATTGATATTCCCTCACTAAATTAAAACAAAGTCATAAATTATTATTATCAAGAGACTTTTAACAACAGGAGGTGAAATGCAGCTCCAGACTAGCTTTGAATGTGGTGATGTGACTAGTACGTTTCTGTTCCAGTTGACCCAGATTTATTCTGCATGCTCCTGTTTTCCCCCCAAGTTCATACTTTCCGTTGTTCCTGTCAAAAACATACTTGGTGAGAACACAAATCTAAACTCCTGTTGCTGCCTCTGCTACCTCTAGAAGTTTCACCAGGGGTTTCATTAAGACAGTGTCCTTGATGAGTCCTACCATTGGTCCCTGTTGAAGGACACCAGCAGCCGGATCCCAGGAGGAACAGGAGCCATGCTTGACCAAAGATGTGCCGATGTGGGAAGCAGCAGCTAAAATCAGCTCTGCATTCCAAATCAGACCATCAGCTTCAGAGAGACACAGGTCCGCTGTAGGAAGTCATCTTCATCTTACCGCAGACACGCAGGGACATGGAAGCGTAACAGAGACATGGCTGACACCTGAAGGTAGACATAGATGAGGCAGATGAAACAAAGGTAAGAAATCTGACAGAAGCCCAGAAATAATCTGAATATACAAAAAAATCTTAATATATATCAATACCAAAGGCTTTAAACACTTAGATATACAGTCTGAGCTCTTTAGCAGCACCAATCCTCAATAAAACCCAAAGAAGGAGGGCGATACTGCTAGTGCTTGGCGTTTACCCAGAACAGCTTTTTTGTTGTTGTTATTATTGTGATTGTTGTTTACTTTTAATAATCATCTTTTTCAGTATATAACCAGCATTTATTGGCAAGTACTGTTGGAGTATTTTGAAATGATAAAAGCTGCAATCAGTCTTCTTTAACCTTCAGTTACTGGGAAGTTCATCCAGGGCCTTAGTAAGAGGACTGAACTGACACCCGATTACTCCAGTATCATAAAGAACAGAATAAGAAATCCATTCATTGTCCAACAATTGGGAAATTCTAGCGTTTACGGCAGATGTAGAAAAAAATGGTAACACAAACGTGGACCTTAAAAAAATTTATAAAAATAACATAATAGTGAAGAGTTAAAAGATAAATAATAAAATACTGTACTGTAAAGTGTTTACATACTGTCACCCTGCAAATCACTGTCAAATATTGCAATCCAAGCCAACAGTATGGGATATCCAATCTTTAAACATAAGACGAGAGAAGTCAGAGTTAATTTTTTTATGCTACATTTTCTCTAAACACTGAACAGAAGAACAGTACACAGTAACCAGCTAATATGCTAAATGAAGCCTAATTTTCTCAGCCATGAAACACGGGATCCTAATTTGCATCCAATCTGACAAACAAATCCGGTCTTATGATGCCTGTGGCAATCAGAACACGTTGACATCAATTTGATGTGAATGATAACAAAATGCAAAATGAAATTGGTTAAATCATGACACAAACATTATGCTACTTCCCATTACAGATATATAGGGAAATAGAAATCTTTATTTCAAGTTGTCCAAGCAGTTAGTCAGATTTATAAATATTTTTCATATGAATAAGTATATTTTTTATTACTTTTATTATTTAGCATTTTTTATTCCCATTGTATCGATGATGGAGTTTGACATTTTAGTATCATTACAACCACGCCAGCCGACAGGAGGGAACAAAGGGGTCAATTGTCCCAGGCCCAGGACATAGGGGTCCCAAAATTGACACTCTAAACATTAAAACTACAGACAGAAGTAATTTTTTAGAAAATATTTGTGATACAAATATTTAATATTAGAGTAACTACATAAATATACATACATATATAAACACACACACACACATATATATATTTATATATGCATAGGTATATGGAATATATTTTCTTTAAATAAGGGGCCATTAGAACTCCTCACACCAAACATAAAATGGTTTGACCAGGACAACGGCGGGCTGCAACTTTTAAAGTTTGTTTCGCTGCAAACTATGAATGTCAGGTTTTCAGAAGTCCACTGCACAGATAAGAAAAGAGAAAAAGGGAAGATGATACCAAAGGCTTGAGGGATTTTATGAGTAAAGATTAAAAATAAATTGAGGAGGAGTCAGGAACTGGTCCAGGGACGGAATTGCAGAAGAATGATGCCTATACTGATGAAGATCTTCATTCATCCAGGTCATAGTCATTCCAAAAAAAAAAAAAAAAAGGTAAAAAACAATCCACTGGACCTTGTTTCCAAGTTTGAAGATGTTTCGCTTATTATCCAGGAAGCTTTTTGAATTTAAAAAGATTCCTGGATTCTTTTTTAACTTTTTTTGGAATGATGCCTATCAGAGCCAGGTAAGAATCAATGTGATTTTAAAGTATAGCATCTGTTAGTGTAAGGCAAAAAACACTTTTCCTTTTACACAGGAAGGAGCAATCAGCTAAGTGATCTTAGTTCTCGGTCATTCCTTTTGAGACAGCATGAAAAGTCAGCAAAACGATACAAAACATAGAGAGGAAAACAACAAAAAAGGGTTAAGAAAAGAGGAAAAAAACATAGAACTAATATTGTATGTCTATTCTATTAAAATTTCTGTATCTGTATAATGAGCTGTTTTATGTGTCGTCTTCTCAATTCAGGGGGGCCCATGTCTGTCTTTGCCTAGGGTTCCAGATTTCCTAAATCCGCCCCTGACTATACTAGTAATGATTTATATAAATACATCCAACAAAAATAGATAAATGTGGTAAATGAAGTTGGAGTTGATGTTACCTGCATGAATAATATAAAAAAAAAAAAAAAGAGAGAACTTGCATTGAATCGATGTTTAAATCTTAGAAGAGAAATGAGTCCGGATTTAAGCCCTGGAGCTCCGGGCTGACAGGTGCCGCGGGATGAAACCCTTCATGGAGATGAAATGAAAGTGGAACAGCAGCTTTTCTCCTCCTGTTACAATGTCCTGTCCACGTCGCGGTGTTTACAGAGGGAAGGACGTCTCAGATGTTCCTGCCTCGCGTGGAGCACAAAGCGACACGTCCCTGCTTTGTTATGTATAATGACCCATCTCTGAAATGGCCCAAACTGGCTTTAAATACAGAATGAATAGATAAAAATAAAACCGGTAGAAAATCTCTGAGTTCCTGCGTCAATCCTCAAAGAGATGTCGGCAATAATTAAGTTCAAAGTTTAAACAGCAGCTAGCTTAACCGCATCAATACGGACTGTTGGGATCGATGCTCTGCGTTCTGTCAAGAATTATTCACCACAACATTTCTACTGATCAACTTACCGATTACACCAAACCACGGACCTTTGTTCCGTCTGCGGAACACGGCAGCTTCTACTTCCTTGTTGAGTGAAAGCTAGCAACTGTCACCATCCAACCAACCTCTTTACACAGAGCCGCACTCAGCGACACACAACTGGTATGGCAAGCTCATTTAGCATTCTATACATTTTGTCCAAAGTACCCTACAGTACATTACTACGGAAGAGGATTAGGGCCACTGAAAAAAAAAAAAAGTTAACTGATTTTTAAATTTTATTTCAGTTTAACGTGGGAAAAAGACAGACACTTTAATCTCAGAATTCTGACTTTTTTTTCTCAGAATTCTGACTTTTTTATTGTCAGAATTCTGAGATTAAAGTCAGAATTCGGAGAAAAAAGTCAGAATTCTGAGATTAAAGTCAGAATTCTGAGATTAAAGTCAGAATTCTGAGATTAAAGTCAGAATTCTGACTTTCCCCCCATACTATACTGAAATAAAATAAAATAAAAAATCAGTTAACTTTTTTTCTTTTCAGTGGCCGTAATCCTCTTCCGTATTTTCCCATATCAAACTGAAATAAAATGTAGAATTCATTTAACTTTTCTTCTTTTTCAGTGGCCCTAATCCTCTTCCGTACATTTCAGGTTTTCTCTTATTAATAAACATTAAGGTGAACAAACTCAATCAATTGTCGGCATTTCAGATAATATAGATTGTCATTCCCAAGACAACAGTGATGCTCCAGAGATTTTTCTCTTAAGGGAGACAAAGCATTGAACTGAAGCCACCTTTGTAACTACATTTTAACGCAGAAAGGTGCAAACAAATCCGCTCACTACTCTTAAATCTGCAAAAGCCAGCAATGAGGTTGATCATAAATATTTGGTTTTTGGTTATTGAATTAATACACACATCTATAATGTATAGTGCAATGTTTAAACTGTTACAAATTCATCCCAGATTTGGTCAAACAAAAAGCATTGTAAATTCACCAGCGGCATATAATGAAATAGATGTAAGGTTGTTATTAATTCAATCATAATAAAAAAAAAAAAAATAACTATAAGTAATTAGATAAATAACATGCCTCAGATGAATTCATATTGTCTTTGTATTTTGTAGAAATTAAACAACACATTATAGATGAAATAGTATGGGTATAATAAATAATATAAATTTAGGGCCAAAGTAAACTAGCAGTAATTCACATAAACCATCAGTTGAATATAAAGGCACAAATATGACTAATTTAGGAATTATATTTCTCATGGAGAGCTCTCTGATTGTTGAAACACCACAAGATATTTTTAAATATCAATTGAAAACTACAAAAGAAAGGCAAAAACCTTTGAAGTTACAGGACTGTTAATCACATAAAAGGTAATAAAAAATGACAGAAAATACCTATTAATATATTTCAAGTAATTGTAACCATCACAAAACTGTAATTGGGGCTGCACAGTAGCAAAACTACTGACACTGGTGTATTTTTATGCATTCAAATGTTTTTTTTAATAATATGCACATTATTTTTTAATTAGATCTGGATGTATTTTGCGAGGATATCAAAAGTACCAGATTTTCAAGAATATTAATTTTGACAAAAAAGCATCAATGTAAATTTTTTCCTGGAGGTGTTATGAGTTTTTCAGGTGTAGCTCAGTTGTACGCTTCCTTGTGCCATTACAGCAAAACAATGACAACAGTTTTGAAATGAATGAGTCTTTGGTTTCTTTTCTAACACTATAGTTTCTGATATCCAATAATAAACTGTGATGCATTTATGTAAAATACAGTTAGATCTCGATGAGATAAAAATCTCTTTTTTAAAGAGACCTAGGTCTATCCAAAAAGGACTTTTATTAATTTATTCATAATTATGGATAAGGATTCAGCGTGTGTGAGCTGTGATTGACACTCCATCAGACGCTCCTCTGGCTGTGATTGGTTGTTTTGACTCCTCCCAAATGATTCTTTCCAGATTGAAATACAGGCAGTAGGCGGGACCAATTGAAGCAGTTTTTTTTCACAGGTTACATATCACATGTACTGCTGTCTGGGCATAGGGACAGTTTTAGCCAATATGACAAAAAAGTGATTTTTAAACTTACAGACTGCAGCTTTAGTGGCAAGAGAAGTTGTTCTTGTAGATCAACTGGATTTAAGTTAAAACTGGTGCTTTCTGGCAGTACCATGAAGTAAAATTTTATATCAATGACTGTTGATAGTCTCACTTTGAATGTTCCATTCTCTCATGTGTGTCTCCTTGCTTTCTAAATCAGCAAATCTAACTCTACCTTTAAAATGGACACTGTCTCCTTGCTCTTTCTTTCTGTCATTCCCTCCATCAGTTTTGTCACCATCCCTCTACCCTTCTCTATGTTTATTTCTGTCTTATCTGATGTGATTTCAGCTTGTGGAACTATTTAAGCTTTCAGCTCTTTTGTGTGATGTTCATTGGTCTCTTTTGGATTTATTTCCATTAGTCTCATTCTGTAAACTCGCAACAAAAGTAAAATGTGCTTCTACATGTTCTGCCAAATTATTAGATAGCAGTGGATTTTCTTCCGTCAGCTTCACGAAATCCTTGTTTGTAGCGTATCTAATTTACAATTCATTTAGTACTTGATTACTTAGTAGTACTTATTCATTTTTTAGTTGTTCCTTGTTGAAACTGCATCATTAAACTCAGAACTTTATATTTAAGATAAGCAAAGAAAATAATAGTGAAATTTACATTTGTGCTTACGGTGTTTAAAAGGCTCCAGCAGTTATTTTCCCAATTTAGTGGACAGTACATTTTTTGTTAAATGTAGAATTACCGTTTGCAGCAATGACATGAAATGCGTTGACTTCTTCAATCTTCTCTCATCTGTTTATTTGCACACTCATGCACCAGGCCCCCATTCTCAGTTTAGCTCTTAATTTAGCCGTCTTTACTACTGTAGCCCTTTTTGAGGCACACTGAGTATAACTTTCTAGGTAATGAACAAGGTGTCTACAGCTCTGGACTAAAAAGCCATTTGAAAAACATTATTTCTCATTGTTGGTTAGGTGGAGCTGGCAGTTACAATATGAAATTGATATTAAATCTAATGTCATTTTCTGGCTTAATACCTCCTATAACAGACAGGTACATCTAAATGTCCGTTTCATAAGACTGGGCTTGAGTTTTGAAATCATGTGAGAGATTTTTCTTTTCTTTAGGGGTTGGTGCTGACCAATACTAAAACATCTTTTCTGCTTTTTTTCTTTCATTTAATGTTTTTAAATTACTCACACTGCTGTTAATAGTGAAGGCTTGGTAGAGAGAATGACTCTGTTGAGTAACACTAATATTTAGCAGGGACGGAAAAATTACCAAATGATTGACATCCTAGAATTCTTCTAATGAAAAGAAAAAAACAACAACTATTTATTACAAAACAGAATTATGCGATATCTTTAGGGGGGTTAACTGCACCCTATTTTTGGTGTGATCATATGCCTTCTAAACCCCCCCAAATAAGGCCTTCAATGCATCTTCTTAGTATAAAAGAAGATAAAAATTATTTGGATTAAGGTTGAACCAAAGCCAAATGTGAAAAAAGTGAAATGCTGTCTATACCTTTCAGATGCACCATACAGAAAATCTAGAATTAAGAGTAAAAACAGCTTCCCTATTATGGGGAACAACTCCTACCGCACCTCATAGTCGTCATTTTGTACCACATCATTGGAATGAATGCCTTTATTTGAACAATGAATAAATCCAAACAAGTTAACTGGAACATTTTGATTAGATTAACAAAAATAGAGATGTTTACAGAATTCAAACCGCTATAAAACTTTTCACAGCCAATGTGTGTTTTTTTTTCTTCCCAACAGTTCTTAAAGACTTAAAAAAAATTGCGCTTTCCCAAAGGTCGTCCTTTAGGTGTTGCTTGGAGCAATTTGCCCCTGTTCTTCTTGGGGGTTTTCTTGGAACCAGAGGATACAGGAGTGGGCGGAGACTTTAAGACCCCAAACTTTGGTTTCTGCTGCGGGTCAAACGGCACTCGAGACGAACCCTCCGGACTGAGAAGCACAGTGAGATCAGTCTTCTTAAACTCTAAATGACAGAAAGCAAAACTGTTACAACAGAATTACTGTGTTTTACATTAAATATCTCGACTTAAAAAACAGGAGTAACCTAAAGACACATCAGGAAAATAAAAAACAATAAACCCAACCTGCTATACATTCAGACTTCTATTTCATACAATAGAAATACAATACAAAAATAACTTAGGACATCTCTATTGTATAGCACATTTTACTTTAACTAACAAAAAACTGGTCAATAAATTCTCTAAAATATATGTATTTAATAACCTGTATAAAGTATGCATCCAACACTTGCAAACTGACCAGGTTTAACCCTTTAAAGCCCGATCCAAGAATAAAACAAAATAGAAAATTACTTTTTTTTTTTTGGTTTGAAGTCCTTATTTGGCCTTTTAACAAAATATGTAAAAAGAAAAAAACAGAAATACATTTTTGATATTAATAATTTATTACTATGCGATAAGTCAAGATTATGTTTTGTGTAGTCTTCTGCCCTCTGTTATCAGGTATATCTGATTGTGTACAATAGGATTTTGAGCAAAGTTTTTACCATTAAATTATGCAAAAGGTGTCGGACGCAAAACATTTCAGAAACCATATGTATCAAATACGATACATTTGGCATTATAGGTTTAACAGAGAGAAATGTAGAAACCTCCCTTCCCAATTGATTCATGCACTTACGCACAGTCTAATCCTAAATGTAGCTTAGCAAGTCAGAATTACGTTACAATATTTTCAATCATAGCATGCAGCTACAGCTCACACTGTAGCTTTTAAACCTAAGGGTTTAAAAGTTCACAGCTCCTGATGTATGTTCCTAAACTGTGCAACCCGACGCTCTGATGCAATCTACCTGCTCACACTGTACGTCTAAAGGCTCTGTGCAGACAAAGCCCTGGTCTGTGGAGCCATCAACTCCTTTAAAACCCTGAACATTTCCTTAGTTGTTCCTTGTACTACTTCGTCAATATCAATCACTGCATTCTCATGCCTAACCCATCAACAGATGCAATAATTAGGAGATCAGATGGATTCACTTCACTTTAACTGGTTATCGGGTTCATTCTTACC